TATTATCCAGCTACTCAAGGTAAGTCGACCGATTGCTGCTGGGATGCCCTTCCACTGACATCATTTAAAGTCTACGTGAACTCAGTACTCGTGTCGTATGAATAACAATAATTTGACGTTTAAGATTAGCTTCTGATTGCAGCTACGTTTAAAGGTTGAATGCTCGAAAAGAGATCCGCGCCCAAATGATTAAAAACTACTCTCGCCCTCATTCTTCCATGTTAATGTCATTTAACGTTGACGGTAAGTCATTCACCCTACGATTCTCTAAAAATGCAATGCCGTTATTCAATCCGATTTATGAAAACCAGAGATATCATAAATATAGTGAACCCGTCACTAAGCATCCTCTCAGCACCCATAATACAGAATAATTCACATAATCGTGAATCAGTGATATTCTTCTCTTCATACGATTCATATGTACTTATACCTATTAGTTATCCATCTTTAATATCCACAGTGATTATACCCTCTCTGGGTCCCCCCGTCGTATAAAAAACTAGACTTTATCAATTGTCCTCTTGACAGCTGGAGTTCTCGAACGTCACAAGAAAGACTTTAAGCTTCAGGCTTTCATGGAAAAATTGATCCAAAATAGAACGAAATGGTCCATACAGGGGTCAAACCTGTCACCCTGGCATTATTAGTACCACGCTCAACCAACTAAGTTAATAGCCCATTATTAAAGCGATTACCTTTACCTCTCAATCAACCGATGCTCCCTATCGAAATCTTTTGGTTTATTAAAGTATCTAAGCTTTAACTGTCGATGGTGATACGGCACCTAAGTAAAGACTGTTTTGAAGTGATATCGCCCTAAACCGTCGGAAATGTCGTCTTTCAAGTACGTTACGCGCTTTCCATGAAGTTCGTCGCGAGATCACTGGTACGAGGATTAAGTTAATTGAGACATTAATCGAGATGGATGGCTGATGGAACTCGTCAAGGAAGAATAAACCCCGTCTCGCTAAACGTGTCTTCTGATCCTCTACTTCCCATATCGGGTATTTTTATCACGTCCCTCCTTTCCTTCGCCTCGTTAGCTTGATTGAACCCTCGCTAACCCACTTATTCCAGCCAAATCTCTCAGCAAATCTCCACATTAACCGTGCTCCTATAATGACATAGCTTGGTTAACATTCTGCGTTCCGTCGTATAAGAGACATACCCATCGAAGAAGCAGAACAGGGAAGAGTTGGCATATGGTATATGGTTCGGCGAGGGGTCAGGATGTGTGCGGGAGACGCTGGGAGAAGACGGTCAGGAGGTTGGGTATGTTGAGAGCGGTATTGTGGCAAGAACGAAGGGTCCGATCGAACTTGGCATTTGATCCCGAGCGCGTTGGAGACGGTTGTTATAGCTGCAAAGAACGAGATAGCTTCTCGCTACGGCCGCCAAGATCGTTAGACATTGGATTAAAGGTGCATAGTGTGGAGGATGGGGTGGCGAAGGTGTAGAGAAAGGTCGCAGGAGGTAGCATCAGCGGGATGGAAGCGAGTAATCATGGAGTTATGGTGGTCGGTCATGGCATGGACGTATGAAGGATGCGGGAATTTGGGAAAGGGCGTGCACAGCCGTGTTGTAGGATACGAAGGACGAGGAAGTCGAAGTCGTTGAGGACCTGTGGGATTGTGACAGAAATTGGAAATCATCCAGGTATATTTCGGAAGCCATGGACGAAATACATAATGGGTGACGGGTCCGGATCGGTGGTGGTGGAGTGACCCTGCGATGTCAGTTATAGTGATCGGTATGGACGTAGGAAGGATGCGGGAATTTGGGAAAGGGTGTGCGCAGACATGTTGCGGAATACGAAGGACGAGGATCTCGAACTCGTTGAGGACGTGTAGGACTGTGACTGCGATTGGATATCGTCCAGGTATATTTCGGAAGCCATGGACGATATACATAATGGGTGGCGGATTCGGATCGGTGGTGGTAGAGGAGTGACCACACCTTCAGCGCTTTCGCTCGGTAGTCTTCGACCTCCTAACACAGCTGTAAGAATCTGGATGGATGGAAGGGTGGCTTCGACACTCTTTCACTGAACCAAAACTGTCCCGTTATTCCCATTGAACCCAGACGAACATGAATTAGTGGACAATGCATTTCCCAGTTATGCTTGGAAACGTATTAATAGTATTATATGTAGACGTGAAGGTGAGAACCCAGATATCAGCATGCTTGTTTCAAGTATTGATTGATTGACATGTACTGTCACTCTGTATATGGCTGCTTGATACTCTTTGCTAGGTGATCTATTCACTGTGGAACCACCACTCACTTCTGATTGTAGCTTGAACCTCATTTAAGAACCGGGAGAATTCTTCAACAGCTAACCTGAGTCTTGAAAATTGGCAAACGATCCGTTCTCGTGAATATAATGAGTCGGACAGTCGACCAGATTTATCTTGAAGATTTTGTGAAGTCGTTTGTCAAGGTTTTACTTAAAGTTAGAGCTTCCGGTGGCGATGTGGTCTGGTTTATTTCCATCATGTGAGCTCACCTCAATTGATTAATGTTTTTGTACATTTAGATCTATATTAAAACCAGCGATTCGAGAGCTACCTTCTGAAATAATTGCAACTTCGAGCCACCCTCAGTGTCCGACAAGGTCAAAACTCTATCGAGCCCGCTCTTTTCATATACTTGTATATGAGATCAGTCGCCTTTCCTTTCTGCCAATCACTAATGAATTAAGCTTGAATTCTCCGTAACCACTAGCGTCGGCGTGATATACGTGGATGATCTCCTCTGTCTGAAAGTCGAACTTCTCATAGCTGAGTCTCTCTATCTATCTAGTCTAGTGACCGTTACGGTTGCGCAGGGGACATTCTATTATCAGTACTACGGTAGAGATACGAAGTTAATAAAGTATTTTTTAAGCTCTCGTTAATGGACTGGCATCTTAACTATGTAGCTAACGTGCTGGGATTAGGTGCCCTCTATTGTGTAAGGAGCATTTCGCCTTCTACTGCTCCATAGCATTCTCACGTACAGTGCTTATTCACATGTATCACATTAAGAATGATGCAGACTGTCAGACTCGTTTACATCATATATCTCCAACTCATTACGTGTCGATTCCCCCTTAATTATAAAAAATTGAACGCCTGATTCCTTAAGTCCGTGACATCTCATCTCTTTTCTGTTCTATTGCTAATCAACACATGTCCATTAGTCGGATTGTGGTAAGAAACTAAGTCATTTAACACGGTAAAATATTGATTAATATGATCAGTCTTCCACCATTCGTCAGGAAAGCCGGCAAATGGCGCTTATTTTTCCGTAGCACTACAGGTTCTAGGAAACATCTAAGTACGGAAATAATGCTCAACTTGCCTCGCTAGCCTCTCGCTAAATCATAAAGTTAACTCAGCTAGTTCGAACAACTCTGAGCGCTATTATACTTAGTGTCGTACCACTACCTTCATGATCACCCCTCTGCTGTAGCTTCTACCTGCATTGTTCCTCAGCAGTCCATGGTTTGTACCACTTAGAGCACCTCAAAATCTCACTTATTATTTTGCATCCAGATACTACTAGTCTGTTCCAACTTGTTCTAGCAGGCGCCGCTGTACGGATCCTAAATGATTTGCTTTGACAATACGTGATAGTCTCCACTGAGGGTGCATCGATCTTCTGCTCTTTCATTCCGCTCCAGTTCCTTCTGAATCTCCTAATGTTCCTACCGGTGGTCAGTTGATCTTGACCCAGCTTCTTTTTTACGGAGCTTTGGGAAAGCCGTATCAGTTAAAGCGAGAAGATGCGCTAGAAGTATGGCTGGGAAATGAGCACTCAGGCCATGGTCTCAGAAGCGCAAGCCCGAATGCGTGTGATCGACGCATATACTCGCATATCCATCTTAACATCTGTATCATACTAGCCCCCATTGGGTAAAAAGTAAATAAAATGAATTAAGCTTTTCAATTTACAAGTACTTAGAGATCTTTACATGTTCTAAGGTTTATTTCATCAAGACTTTCAGATTTATACCAGGGACAATAGTCGGAACCAGTCGGAACCACTCCGAACTCCCGTTCTATGATTGGCACACGCAATTAACATGATCTTGGCTGAGAAGCATCGGAGCATCGCATGTATCACATTTCACTGTGGATCAATTTTCTTTTTAATACGCTGTCTATTCCCACAGAGATCACTCGAGATAAGAAAACACCGGAACAACTTTTGATTTCAACGTCAGGATAGGGAAACAAGACAGTACAATACAGTATGTAAATAATCGATTGAGGGAGCAGAAGAAAACAGCATACTCAATCCGCGTCTGTTAGTTTCCCCCTCAAAGAGGGGTACTCGTCCTCTGGGCCACGAAGAGGCCGACGCCAGAGATGCCCGAAGACATCTCCTATACCAGAGGAAGGCGGTCCAGGCTTGTAGAGGTCTTGAATTTGAGCCCGAACAGTCCAGGGATAGAGTCCACCGACGTCAGCCATCGCGTCGAGGCAGCATGCCCGAGAGAGCTGGAGCACATCCAAAGATCCCTGTCTCGGAGACAGTGTCAGATTGCGGTAACTTCATCACAACAATCGACGTCGCTAAACACATTATGTTGATGTTTGATTCAGTGTGCTGCTATCGACAGGAGCACCCTCCATGTGACTAAACCACGTAGCAGGATCCGGATGTACTGGTGCAGTTCTTCGTGGACCTACTCTGGCTGATCGGGGGACCTGGTTAGTATGAGAAATGCACGAACACGATCCCAAGGATGCCAAGCTATGCATGGGGGTGCAGACTCAACAGAGAAGAAGCCAGTGCCGATCTATGAATCAACGCTAACCTTCGCTGCTCGATTGAGGAAACAACGAGAGGCAGAGCGAGCAAAGGCTCCAGCCCATCAGCAACACCAGCATTGTTTGAAGCTGGTCACTGTTGCATCTCTATAGTGCTCGTGGACTGGATACCTCGACTCTACAGGATCCATAGTGTCAAGGGACCCGTTCGCAATGTGTGAGGGACAAGGAGACTTGAGCTGCCAGACAGGTTTATATACATTTTCGAGCGTCAAAAATTGCTTGGCCAGTGGTTAATGCAGATGGTCGATCATGATCGGTACCATTTATAGATAATTTTAAATTACAAGGCTTCTGTGTTATCACAAGGGGAGATCTTCGGAAGAGAAGTTCCTAGCTTCCTGTGTATGTGAACGTATAAGGGCCGTCCGATAATAAACATCAGGAAAACGGGCAATGGCGCCTAATCTTTGCGTAGCACTACATACACAAGCTAGCAAACTTCAACGGAAATAGTGCTCTACTATCGTCGTTAGGTCTCGCTACAGGCTTCTGAAGAAACTCCGCTGGTTTGAACAACAATTATGAGCGCCAGGTCCTATGTCATGACTTAGCATCATACTACTACTACATCCTCCGCCTCTTCCCTCAAACTACCTGCATACCCTTGCTTTGATAGATCCAGAACGACGTACAATTCTTCAATTCTTTAACTCTGGAAGTAAATCTAATCTGCTGCAGGATGTCATCAGCCAGGGCATTCATGCCTCCTTGCCATTGGTAGGTTTAAGCCAGTATTTATTTCTTTGTCAATTCAGTTGTAACTGATTCATCCACATCATGACTCAACCAATTGTTATCTTGAGCTGACTACTCATTTCGTCATATAAGAGTTAGAGTTGGGTTGTTTTCCCAGGAGAG